GTAAAAAAAAATCGAGGAGGTGGAGTTCTCATAGCTGTTTCTACACATCTTAGTAGCTGTTTAGATTCATCAACCATTTGCAAATCACTAGAGCAAATTTGGGTGAGAATTGATATGAATGGTTGCATCATCAGCCTCGGAGTTATTTATATTCCACCCGATCGGAAAAACGATCTCAACGATATTCAACTGCACATAGACTCAATTGGTGCGGTCGTCGCTGGTCTAGGTGCTAACGACATGGCTCTTCAGTTTGGCGATTACAATCATTCAGACGTATTTTGGATATCAAATGAAAACGGTTACTCTTCTGTGGACATGGATCGTTCCCGTCTTTCAACCGCCAGCTGCGCATTGGTGGACGGATTCAACTTGCATGGATTATCGCAGCTCAACCAGATTGCAAATTCAAAAGGCCGCATCCTCGATCCAATACTTGCAAATGACATCGCTTTGCCTAATTGTACGGTTTCAGAAGCCATCAAACCACCGACTTCTATTGATATTCATCATCCAGCCATAGAGGTTGCATTATCCCATACGGTCCCAGTTTCATACGAAGCGGTGCATGATAACACCAGTTTCAATTTCCGAAAGGCTGATTTTGCTGCGATGAATCAAGCTCTACTTGCTATCGATTGGAGTTACCTTAATTCATTCCAGAACTTGGATGATGCTGTGGATTTTTTCACGAACGCTGTAAGCAGTATTATCGCTGAACATGTACCTCTTGCTGGAGCTGCACAGAAACCACCCTGGTCAACCAATCGCTTGCGAATGCTTAAACGCCACCGTTCTTCGGCCCTTCGAAAATATTGCAGCAGTCGTTCGTTGCACTTAAAACTACAGTTCAATCGTGCAAGCCGAGCATACAGGAACCACAACCGTTTCTTGTACGCTCGGTACATAATTCGGATGCAGCGCAACCTACGTACCAACCCGAAGCAATTTTGGTCGTTTGTCAAATCTAAACGTAACGAAGAGGGCCTTCCTTCGTCAATGTATCTAGGAAATCTCTCTGCTGACTCAACTGCTGAAAAATGTGAACTCTTTGCATCCCAATTCAAAGTGTCCTTCAATAATTTCGCTGCGCAACCTGCTCAAGTTGAAGAGGCAGTTCGAGATACTCCACAGGACGTCTTGGACTTCGACAATTTCTACATCGATGAAAATGAGGTTGCGAGGGCAATAAGTAAACTGAAATTCTCGCTATCTGTTGGACCTGACGGAATTTCTTCAGCGATGCTGAAAAGATGTACTTCTGCGCTATGTCAACCTTTGATGAAACTCTTCAACCTTTCGTTTCAACAAGGAGTGTTTCCCTCGAATTGGAAATCATCATTCTTGTTTCCAGTTTTCAAAAAGGGGGATAAACGAGATGTCAGCAATTACCGTGGCCTAACCTCCTTGTGTGCATGTTCAAAGGTATATGAAATCATCGTGAACGACGTTCTTTTTGCCCGCTCGAAACATTACATTTCGGTTGATCAGCATGGATTCTATCCAAAAAGGTCGGTTGCTACAAACCTTGCTGAATTTACCTCTCTGTGCATTCAAGCAGTCGATTCTGGGAAGCAGGTGGACGCTGTCTACATGGACCTGAAGGCTGCTTTCGATCGGGTTGATCATAACATCCTTCTGAAGAAGCTGGAGAAGATTGGTGTAACGTCTGCTTCAGGTGATTGGTTCAGGTCGTACCTAACCAACAGCTCCTTGTGTGTAAAAATCGGTTCAAGTCAATCGGAGATGTTCGTTAATCAATCTGGCGTACCACAAGGGAGCAACCTGGGACCACTGTTGTTCTCCTTGTTTATCAACGATGTGTCACTGATTCTGCCACCGGGAGTGCGACTTTTCTATGCTGATGATGCTAAAGTCTACGTCATTGTAAACAGCTTTGAAGACTGTCTCGAACTGCAGAATATCTTGAATTCCTTCGAAAACTGGTGCACAAGGAACTGTATGACTCTCAGCATCGAGAAATGTCAGGTAATCACGTTCAGCAGAAAGTTCAAGCCAATCGTATATCCATATTCGTTATCCGGGCAACCTCTAGCGCGGGTACAACGTATTCGAGACTTGGGAGTTAGTCTCGATCAAGAACTCACTTTCCGGTTCCACTATGATGACATCATCTCTAGAGCAAACAGGCAGCTTGGATTCATTATGAAAATTGCTAGTGGATTTCGTGATGTTTTCTGTTTGAGGTCATTGTACTGTGCTCTAGTACGGTCAATTCTGGAATTTGGAGCAATCGTTTGGTGTCCTTATCACGATAGTTGGATTACACGAATCGAATCTGTACAGAGAAAGTTTGTACGTTATGCTTTCAGGAACCTTCCATGGCGTCATCCTCAGCATCTGACACCATACCAGGATCGTTGTCAACTACTCGGAATAGAAACGCTGAAAAATAGACGTCAAGTTGCTCAAGCGATGTTCGTCGTTAAAATCCTCAGGAATGACATTGATTCACCATCCTTACTAGCAAGAATGAATATCTACGCCCCCGAACGTTTACTACGACGACGAAATTTCCTACAGTTTGAACCCCGCAATACCCTATATGGACAGCATGATCCGGTTACATTTATGTCAGCTACCTTTGATGAAGTTTTTCATTTATTCGACTTCAACGTACCGGTGTCCACGCTGCAACGACGGTTTACTGATCATTTTCGTAATACTTGACTAAACAGAATTCAATACCCTTGAGGTTCTTCTCGGAAGTCATGTTTAAGTTGTCCGCCCATTCGTTGTAGTTTTTCTACCAGAAATGTTCAATAAAGCTTGCCCCTCCTTTCACCAGAACAGTGCATTTTTTACATCAGGAATTTTCAATTCAGCTTGCCTCTCCATGTAGCAAATTGTTGCAAATCTTACCTTAGAAATTTTCAATACAAACTTGCCCCCAGTAAATTTTACACCAGAACATTTCAATTGATCAGAACGATACAAATTTTCCACCGTTAATGTTCAATAACAATTGCTTCTTCAATCTTCTGATTGGTGCAGATTTCCTTTTTCCATTTTCCACCAGACATTTTCAATATAGCTTGCTTCTCCTATCATTAGAATGTTGCAGGTTTTCCACCAAATAACGCTTGCCCCTATTTTCAGACTTTTCATCATAAATTGTCAGTAAAGCAGCTTCCCTCCAATCATCAGAACAGTGCAAATTTTACACCAGAAATTATTATTAAAGTTTGTTTTTCTATTCAGCAGAAGGATGCACATTTAAGGACAAAATTTTTCCAAAAAGCTTGCCTATCCAATCACCACAACGGTGCAGATTTTCCACCAGAAATTTTCAATGTAGATTAATTTTAAATAAAGCTTGTGCCTTCATTTATCAGACAAGTGCAAGTTTACACCAGAAATATTCCGTTCATTTCATTTATCAGAGCAATGCAAATTTTGCACCAGAAATTTTCAATAAATCATGCTTCATTCACCAGAACGGTGCGCCAAAAATTTTCAGTGAAGTTTGTTTCACCATGCACCTTTGTGGTGCAATTCTCAGGCTTTGCCTCTTGATGTACCAGAATGCTGCAAATTTTCCAACCTTAAATTTTCAATGAAGCTTGCATCCATCAGAAAGATGCAAATTATGCACCAGAAAATTAATAAACTTTGCTTCTACATTCACCACAGTGTTGCGAACTTTCCACCAGAAATTTTCAGTTAAATGTGCTCCTCCAAATTTTTAGCGTGATTCAATTTTTACACCAGAGTTATTCATTTTGATTAGTCCCTCCATGCCCCACCTCGATGATATTTTTACACCAGAAATATTTAATAAAAAGCTATTTCTTCGATTCACCACCACGAAGGTGAATTTTTTTCAACCTTAAATTTACCATCTTTTTTTAACTCTCCATGAACCACTCTGAAAAAAAAATTTACACCAGGATTTTTTGTATGCACCACTAGGGTGCAATTTTTTAACCCAAAAATTTAACTGAAGTTTGCCATTTCATGCACCTTTGTGGTGCAATTTTTAGGCACCATCTCAAAGGAATTGACGCAATAAAAGGATTTCAGTGGCCTTATTTTATGAAATGAAGTTATTTTACCTTCAAATCAATTTATCAAGAAATTAAGTTATTTTATATTATAATTTTGCTAATATGAAAATAAAAATCTCATTTATAAAAGGAGGGGAAACTGCCCCACCTTGTCACGCCAGTGGCAATATTTATTGAATTTATAAATCTGTAACATAATCTCTATCATTAAACAAAACCCCTCGTACTTACCTGAAGTAATTCCAAAAAGCAATCATTTCCAGTCAGTCTACGAGACCAAAACTCCTTCCTGCTAACTCTACTTACCTGGCTGTAATGTTACAAAAAGCAGCTTTCAAACCAGGTTAGGATTCAGTAGGAACATTAGTTAAACAAAAAAACTTACTCTACACTTCCGCTCTCCATCCCACAAGCTGCACTCACTCACAGGGCGAAAAACGATAAACTCCTACTGAAACAAGTCCCGAAAAGGGTTCATCTCTGCGGTTAGCTTTGCCCAACCGGACTCCCGGAGCCCCGGGTCCCGACCTTTCAACTCAACTCGGCTGTTTCGATTGCTTTTTTTTTGTAATCAAACTGCACCCGCCAGTTGGATCCAGCCAGCCACCTTCTGACGCCGCCGGTAGTTTCAAAAGTCGGAACGAAGAAAAACGTGTGCGATGGAACGGACGGATCGGAAGGTCGTCCTAGAGCGAAAGTTGGTGATTAAGTTAAGCTCTGCTTTTGTGTTTGTTTGTTTGTTTGTTGCCAACACTGAGTCGAACGGATTCAAACACTACTGCACAGGAAAAGTTGGCTGTTGGCTTTCGGTGAAGAGGAATTAATTTGGTATCAAGTAGGTACCTACTGCTGGCACCCGGAAATAGTTTTGCACAGAGTAGGCTGTCATCTGTCATCGAAACGCCAGCGAGGAATAATGGTTAATAACTTTTATTTGTTTGCTTTTGTTTGTTGTCATTCTTGTTTTGTTGGTTTTTAGTTTGGTTAAATAAATTCAATAATTTGATTTAATCCTTTCTGCTTCTTCGCCGGTAAATGGTATATAGGGAGAGCGAGAGCGTTTCAATACTTTCTTGGTTATAGAGCAATGTGTATCGTTTGGTAATTTCGTTTTCGCTGATGTCAGTTTTCTCAACTGGATAGGAATGAGTGGATGGTTGGAGTTTGTATTGCATTTCATCTTTTGTTTCGTTTCGTTTTTGGTATACAGCAAACGTCACTTTGACATCCGTACTGACTGGTTGTTTTAATTTCGATTAAGCACTTAGTTTTTGTTTAGTAACACGCCTTTGCAAAACATGGCCCTCTAATTGATGCACGGTTACTCTGGTATGATTGACAGATGCTTCGGTTAGTTTACACAATTTCACGCACACCAAGCACGTTTCGCCGAATGGGAAAGGAAACAGCTCAAAGCCCACGCTTGATTGGCCGTTTTGCGTTTGTTTACATTTTCATTTAAATTCCATAATTGTCGCAGCAGTTTTCGTTTGTTTGTTGCTCGTATTTTTTTTTACTTCGGTTATGAGTAACTTTTTACAGACAGATAATTTAGCTCCTACTTCAGTTTTTAAAAACCAAACCCATAACTAACAATGACTTTGCAATGTACAACTACTGCTTTGTTTTTTCGTTTAGGCATCACGTTATAAAAATCTACTACTTGGTTGGTTTATGTTGTATTCGTTTTAGGCTTCCGTTACTTTGTAGGTTAAGATTTAGAGTTAAGTTCATTAGAAGCACTTTTCACTATAGTTGTTCGTATTAGTAATGTTTTCTTTTGTCCTATTTTGTGTTGGTAGAGATTGTGATTATTTACAAAGGATTTGCCAGCGCTGCAAGCAACAATGAGGGTGGACTGAAAACACGCTTGCTATGGTTATGTCTTGCTATAAAAATATCGTCGCATTGCAATTTGACAGTTCTTGTTATGCGAATTTACGCGTTTGGATGTGTGTATTTGTGATTTCGGTTCGCTCAAAAAGTTTTTGTTTTTCAATGTTTGAATTATTGTCCACCCCAAAAAGGGGTCCCTCGCGTTTTTTCCGTGGTACAGTTCCATTCTCTAGTTATTTTGTTTGGCAATCATGTTTTTTTTTATCTTTTCGAGGAAACTCCTTCACACGATTCGGTTACTTAGTAGAGATCTAGTAACAATATATACTTTTTTACAGCACTAGAATTCTTTTAAATCTACGAGTCCGTTCATCCAGTTCTTCATAAAAATAGGAATAGTTTGCATTTATCGCGTTTTTATTTTACACCCTTCTTAACCTTGCCCTTCATCCCTAACTAAAAATCTTAGTGCGCTTACCGATTCGCCGATTCAGTGGGGAGATTTGGCCAAACTACCAGCACCTACACGGTTGCTGGTTCCGGTGCTGCCGCTGCCTCCCCCGCTCCAGCTCCACTATGGGAGCGAATGGAACACCGAGTCCAAATCTGGAAGACCTCGTTCACGACCCCGGGCGGCGATTTCCGTCGTCCAGCGGTTCGGCTTGTAGTACATATCCTTGTACATGGTGGGACAGTTTTGGTTCTACAGGGAAGATAGATTGGAGAGAATAAGGTTATGTGTGGTATATTAGAAGGAGATATCATTCTTCAAAATCTGAAGGCGACAAACATTCTCAGAATATCCCAACGAGATTTTTATCAAGATTCTGCAGAATCTCTTGCATATATTTACTAGATTTGCGTGTAGTGATTCGTAATAGTTGCTTGTAGAGATTCTGCGGAATCTCTTACAGAGATTTTCGAAAAAGTTCCCTAGAGATTAATCAGAACAGATTTTAGCAAATCTTCTGATATTCTCCCTATTCTCCAGAGTCACTTGAACAGAATCTTTGAAAGGTTCTCCAGAATCTTTACCACAGATACACCAGAATGTTCCTTAAAGGTTTTCCTGAGATTATCTTCTCTTGTAGAGCTTCTCCATAACCACTCGACGGGATTATCCGAAATTTCTTGTAGAAATTCTCCAGAATGGGCTTTGTACAGTCATCATTCACTTATCAAGGGTTTCTAGAATTTCTAGTTAATATCCTTCACATTTTTTCGTAGCTTTACTTCAAAGTCTCTAGAAAATGTTCCACAGATGGGAAGGATCAGGAAGGACATTCCGGGGAACTGGAAGATTCAAGGAAACTACTGATAAGGTTTGTGGGAGCTCCTGGGATGTATCGAAGAAACTTGTGGGAAGTTCCAAGTGGATTTAAGGAAAGTTCCGAAGGATTTGGGGAAACTACTTGAAAGTTTCGTGGGAGTTTATGGGAAGTTTCGAGGGAACTGCTGGGAAATTTAATTAAATTTCGAGGGAAATTCTTAGAAGTTTCGATGAAACTTTTTGGGAAGTTGCGAGTATACTTCTGAAAAATTCCGTAAGTTTCGAGGTAAATTCTGGGAAGTATCAGGGGACCTTCTAGGAAGTTTCGAGTGGATATTGATATGTTTCGAGAGAATTTTTGAAATGTTTCGAAGTAAGTTCGGAGATGTATCGAGGGACCTGCTATGAAATTCCGAGGTAACTTCTAGGAAATTCCAAAGAAACTTCAAGGAAGTTCCAAAAACACATCAGGGAGGTTGCGACCAAGCTTAATTTTGGAAGTTCCAAGGGAACTTATGATAAGTTTTCTGGGAACTCCTGGGAAATTTCAAGCGATCATTTACTGGTTGAAACGCAACCTCATACCATCTCAGAATGTCATCCGCTCGTTGGGAGCTGTCAAATTGTTTGTTTTCATACAAAACAGGTGATTAAATCACCAAAAAAATGAATGGTCAAGGTTTGCTGGACACCATTTTCAGACGGAATAGGTAATTTTTTCTTGGGGTTTAACCCAATCAGCGATAATGATTGCTGATAATAAATGGAGATTGGAAGATTCCAGGGAGATTAAAGGTAGTTTCGAGGAAACTTCTGAGAAGTAACGAGCATACTTCTGGAATATTCTAGGAAGTTTCGAGGAAACTTCAGGGAAGATTCGAAGCAATTGAAGGGAATTTCTAAAGGAAATTATGGGAAGCTTCAAAGGAACTTTTTAGATGTCCCGAGATAATTTCAATGAAATTACAAGGGAACTTCTGGGCAGTTCCAAAGAAACTTCTTGGAACATCCTAGAATACTTCTGGGACCGTTCGAATGTAGTTCACAGAAGTTTCTAATGAACTTATGTGAAGTTTTGAGAGTACTTCTCGATTGTCTCTTTTAGAGATTCTACTGAATCTCTTGAAGAGATTCTACTGAATCTCTTGTAGAGATTCTACCGAATCTCGCGTTGAGATTCTACCGAATCTCGCGTTGAGATTCTACCGAATCTCGTGTTGAGATTCTACCCAATCTCGTGTGGAGATTCTACCGAATCTCGTGTTGAGATTCTACCGAATCTCTTATAGATATTCTACCGAATCTCTTGTAGAGATTCTACCGAATCACTTGCAGAGAATCTACCGAATCTCTTGTTGAGATTCTACCGAATCTCTTGTAGAGATTCTACCGAAAGTCTTGCAGAGATTCTACCAAATGTCTTGTAGAGATTCTACCAAATCTCTTGTAGAAATTCTACCGAATCTCTTGTAGAGATTCTACCGAATCTCTTGTAGAGATTCTATCGAATCTCTTGTAAAATTCTACCGAATCCCTTGTAGAGATTCTACCGAATCTCTTGTAGAGATTCTACCGAATCTCTTGTAGAGATTCTACCGAATCTCTTGTAGAGATTCTACCGAATCTCTTGTAGAGATTCTACCGAATCTCTTGTAGAGATTCTACCGAATCTCTTGTAGAGATTCTACCGAATCTTTTGTAGAGATTCTACCGAATCTCTTGTAGAGATTCTACCGAATCTCTTGTAGAGATTCTACCGAATCTCTTGTAGAGATTCTACCGAATCTCTTGTAGAGATTCTACCGAATCTCTTGTAGAGATTCTACCGAATCTCTTGTAGAGATTCTACCGAATCTCTTGTAGAGATTCTACCGAATCTCTTGTAGAGATTCTACCGAATCTCTTGTAGAGATTCTACCGAATCTCTTGTAGAGATTCTACCGAATCTCTTGTAGAGATTCTACCGAATCTCTTGTAGAGATTCTACCGAATCTCTTGTAGAGATTCTACCGAATCTCTTGTAGAGATTCTACCGAATCTCTTGTAGAGATTCTACCGAATCTCTTGTAGAGATTCTACCGAATCTCTTGTAGAGATTCTACCGAATCTCTTGTAGAGATTCTACCGAATCTCTTGTAGAGATTCTACCGAATCTCTTGTAGAGATTCTACCGAATCTCTTGTAGAGATTCTACCGAATCTCTTGTAGAGATTCTACCGAATCTCTTGTAGAGATTCTACCGAATCTCTTGTAGAGATTCTACCGAATCTCTTGTAGAGATTCTACCGAATCTCTTGTAGAGATTCTACCGAATCTCTTGTAGAGATTCTACCGAATCTCTTGTAGAGATTCTACCGAATCTCTTGTAGAGATTCTACCGAATCTCTTGTAGAGATTCTACCGAATCTCTTGTAGAGATTCTACCGAATCTCTTGTAGAGATTCTACCGAATCTCTTGTAGAGATTCTACCGAATCTCTTGTAGAGATTCTACCGAATCTCTTGTAGAGATTCTACCGAATCTCTTGTAGAGATTCTACCGAATCTCTTGTAGAGATTCTACCGAATCTCTTGTAGAGACTCTACCGAATCTCTTGTAGAGATTCTACCGTATCCCTTGTAGAGATTCTACCGTATCCCTTGTAGAGATTCTACCGAATCTCTTGTAGAGACTCTATCGAATCTCTTGTAGAGATTCTACCGAAATCTTGTAGAGATTCTACCGAATCTCTTGTAAAGATTCTATCGAATTTTTTGTAGAGATTCTACCGAATCTCTTGTAGAGATTCTACCGAATCTCTTGTAGAGATTCTACCGAATCTCTTGTAGAGATTCTACCGAATCTCTTGTAGAGATTCTACCGAATCTCTTGTAGAGATTCTACCGAATCTCTTGTAGAGATTCTACCGAATCTCTTGTAGAGATTCTACCGAATCTCTTGTAGAGATTCTACTGAATCTCTTGTAGAGATTCTACCGAATCTCTTGTAGAGATTCTACCGAATCTCTTGTAGAGATTCTACCGAATCTCTTGTAGAGATTCTACCGAATCTCTTGTAGAGATTCTACCAAATCTCTTGTAGAGATTCTACCAAATCTCTTGTAGAGATTCTACCGAATCTCTTGTAGAGATTCTACCGAATCTCTTGTAGAGCTTCTACCGAATCTCTTGTAGAGATTCTACCGAATCTCTTGTAGAGATTCTACCGAATCTCTTGTAGAGATTCTACCGAATCTCGTGTAGAGAATCTACCGAATCTCTTGTAGAGATTCTACTGAATTTCTTGCAGAGATTCTACCGAATATCTTACAGAGATTCTACCAAATCTCTTGTTGAAATTCTACCGAATCTTTTGTGGAGATTCTACTGAATCTCTTAAAGAGTTTCTTCCAAATCTCTTGACGAGATTCTACCGAATCTCTTGTAGAAATTCTACCGTATTTTTGTACAGTTTCTGCTGTATCTTTTTTAGTGTGCCAAATCAATATTTTCTGCTAGTTCTCGCTCATTTTCAATGGTTGACAATCAATGAACACATTATGAATAGTTTATTTATCTTCAGCGGCAATTAGTCAAATAAGTACACTTTCAAAATTAAAGATTCACTTTTCCTGTAAAAAATACAGTTTGAAATACATCAAATATATGAACTGATATCCCCTAGTCTGAGACACCATGCAAAGAGATTTCACAATTTTCACCAAATCGTGATCAAGAAAGGGCATTCTGATTCTAAACCAGCCACCACGACTTACCTTATTCGCTCCCGTGTGTGCAAAATCGATGTTCGTCCGCACCGTCCGGTGGTGCAGCGCCTGCAGGGGCCTTGCATTGTTCCCCAGCGGTGCCTTCGGAGTCTGCTCTGAACCCTGCATCAACTTCCGCAGGGCATATAGCTAGCAAAACGAGAATCAAAGTAAACAGAATGATCAGATTCGAGCTGTCGACCATCATCAGGATTGCAAACCTCACCTCCTGTTTGGTGATGTAGATCGGCTTGTTCAGGATGATCCATACCGTGCTCTCCCAGCAGCCGGGATGCGTGGTGGACCCCTCGTACGTCATGTACTGTTCGGTGTTTGGCAACAGCGACCGGAGCGAGATGTGCCGGATCGGAATGGAAGAACCTGCGTGCGAACAGAAATGAGCCAGGATAAATGTAAATCGTCCCGTGAAAGTACCTACCTTTGTAGGTGACCTTGTTGAAGGTGCTGGTGATTATCCGCAGCTCCGGGTTGGGCGTATCACCGATCTGCACCATCAGCGAGATCCCCACGATGCCCTGGGCCTTGTGTTGTGCTTCGGACATGTTGTGGTACAGTTCCTTGTTGAAGCCGTATAATTGAATCTTTTGTGTTTTGGAAGCGGTTGGAAAAGAAGCATAGAGAAAGACTCATTTCATGACGGTTAAAAGTTTCCGATAAGATTGCGAAAAAAAAGGGAAAATGGTTGTCGAGGGGTGAGTGAATGGTGCGATGGGAGGTTAATAAAAGGTAATAATCGTTTGGTTTTACAATCGGGGCTGTAAAAAAATGCAGAGGAAAATGGGCATGTCACGTCCCGTCCCGTCATCGTCGGTCGGTTGCTGGCCAATCCATGGAACGAAGCTCCAGAAGGATTACCGGAAGTCAGCTTGAAGCGGCACGTACGAGTCTCCTCTACTTACAAAACACTAAATTACACGTTATTAACATTCTTTCTTGTAGGACGTGTTTTTTTTTCTTCTCTCGCTCTCGCCATCGTCATCTTCTTACGTAATTTCGAGCGCCGTGGCCCGAAGCCATTATTTCTGATTACCATCACGTTGTCTTAACTAGTTTTCTTTGGCATATTTTTTTTTTCGATGGAGAGAAGGACGAGAGGTCGGAGGTTGGCTTTTATGTGTTCTCCTAGTTTTTTTAATAGCAACATCATGTTGCATTAGTGTGGTACCCGGATGCTTTCTTCCTGGGTCGAATGGGGGCGCTCGTAGAAAGCAGGCAGCGGAAACGTGCGAACGTGGAACTTATTTACATAACAAGCTTAAAAACTACGCGAACTGCAGCGCTGCAGCAGCAACACCTTCGCTCTTTGGCTTGGCGTCTTTGCATCGGCTTTCGATGGTTGTGCGGGGAAGGATTCTGGCCCTGGCTGGGATTTGGGCGAGTTTCGTCTCTCGGGGCTTTGTGTTGGAAGTGGTTTATGGAAAAGTTTGAAGTTAAGTTCATATTGTAAAGGAGACCAGGTTGAGACTGTAGGTCAGTAAACCAAGTACAGGTTAGAGATGAATGGGCTTGTTCCGTTCGCAGTTTGTTATGTTGGATTTTTTTGAACTTTCTGAAGCGAATGAAGCTTAGCTCGAATTTTAAGAAGCTAAGTGCGATTTTTAATGTCCTACAATTGCGCGGACCAGGTTCAATGAATAATTAAATAATTAACCGGTCGATATGTGGTTAATGTTCCTAATGTCAGCCTAATTTCCCCTAGAAATGGCCCAATCTAAAAGGAAAGCATTTTTGGCAATTTTTCACTAGCATCCAAAAACATCCATTTGTATTGTCTAGATGACGCATTTTTCTAAGAAAATTTGAAGAACATAAGATTTTTATTGATGGGCCCAATCTTTAGATTCATAGGCCAACATTAGAGCCATTTCCCCTATTATATTTGTACGACATTTGCAGTGGATACCGGAAAACTGTTCCGGATATTTTGAGGTTATGTGCAATTTATCTTCTGCTCATACATGGATTGATAACATAACTATAATAGGATTTGACTTCGTCCAATATTATCTGATTTTAATTCTTCCAGAAGCTTTCGACTGAAAAGTTCTATGGTATAGGCACGGAAATAACCATCGTCACCGGATGCCAGAGAAATTCCGGAATTCCGAAGGGGATGTCAAAATTGTTGTAAATATTTGTGATGGGATTTGTTTTTTCGGATGCCGGTTGAAATCCTACATTTTGAATTACTAAAGAGTGGTCCAGTTGGAATCTGGACGTATAATTTTTTTTATAGCAGCGCCTCTAGTGGTTGGTTCTATATTGTTTTGACAGAAGATGTTTTTTTTAAAGAGCTCCTCTTGCAGTTCTGAAAATATTGATAACGATTCAATTGATTTAAAAAAATTATGCCAGATGAAAGACGAGAGAGCTCTGTTACAGAATTTGTAGTTCTTCCGTAGCTTGAACGATTTTGCCGGAAGAGTGTTCAAAACAAGGGGGAATCAACTCAGCACACTATGCCGAAACAAAGTATGACACATTGTTTGGCACGTTAAGGCACACACTGATACGTATGACATGAAACATATCATATAAAATGGCAACACTGTTGAGTGCTGATTTTTTTCAAATCGATTTACCCGTTGCTGAGGTTTGTTCAGTTCAAATGAAAATATTTTTTTTTTTTATTATTATAGTCACTTTAACACTCTTGGGTTATTCGTGACCTGTCCGGGGGTGAGATTTGAACTCGTGACTTTGGCGTGAGAGGCATGGATGTTAACCACTACGCCACTCAATACTGGTGCAATAGTGATTGATCCTAGAATTTTAAAAGTTGATTGTACATCTCAATCTCAAAAGTTTGGTGCCGCTTTTAAAATGAAAGAGGGATGGGATGAGTGATGAAGTGTTCAGGAATCAAGGCGATAAATACCGTACCGAAGCAGAATGCACAATTTGCAACTGTAAGAGAAAACCGACGAAAACACTGCAATTCTGTCCATCTTGGATTGTCTCAATCTTCCAAGCCAAAAAGGAACAAAAGCTTTGATGAACTTCAGTTCCAGCTGGAAAAAAGAAGGATGCATGGAATGACCGTTTGTTTCGAGAGTAAAAAGCGGAACATTCTGTAGCAGATAAAGGCAACAAAGAAGTTTTTTTTTCTCAAAAACCAACCACTGTCCTCCCCCACTTGCCACGTTTTTCCTAAAAAAGGCATACTATATTGCACGTAGTTGCCCCCCCCCCCTTATCGAAGGGGCTACCCCCTATTACCATCCCCTTATACCTTCACATGCCAAATTTGGTTCCATTTGCTTGATTAGCTCTCGAGTTATGCAGAAATTTCTGTTTCATTTGTATCGGAGGGGGAGGGGTCTCAAACCATCATAAGAACCTTTACCGCCCTAAAAACCCCTGCATACAAATTTTCACGCCGATCGGTTCAGTGGTTTCCAAGACAGACAGACAGACAGACAGACAGAAATTCATTTTTATATGTTGAGATCTAAGCAAGCAGTTGATTTCAACACTGTACATAAGTATAAGGTACTGGTTGCTAAGCATAAGTAAATAACAAATAGGGGAAAAGTTTGCTTCGGCAATACCTTAACCTATTATCGTCAGGGGGGTAAACAACGTCCTTGAGAGCTCAATTTTGGCATGTAGATACATTGTGTTTCAGAGCAACTATTGGCCAAATTTGAGTGCTCTAGGACTTTGTTTACCCCCTGACGATAATAGGTTTAGGTATTGCCGAAGCCAACAATTCCCCTGTATAGCAACCAGCAGATATAAAACTGGACAGTGCAAAGAAAGCAGGAATCGTGCAGTTTGCCGGTGAGGGCTTCGACACGTGGAGGTTTCGTGTGAAGATGCAGCTTTCAGCCCAAGAAGTGAAGGAGACGATTACGAAGGATGCACCGGAAGGTGCTGCAGCACTAACGGCATTCCGCGAGAAGGACGAGAAGGCCAAGGCACTCCTGGTGTCATACGTTGCAGACAGTCATTTAGAATACATCCGCGACAAGAAGACAGCAAAAGCGATGTGGACGTCCATCCAGCGATCAATGGCCATGCTACGAATGGAGGAAGGAACGTCCCTGGCGGATCATTTTTGTCGATTCGATGAGCTGAGAAGACAGCTGAGGGATGCGGAGCCACGCTCACGGAGCTCGACATGGTAAGTCAACTGTTTATTTCGTTGCCACCTAGTTACGACGTGGTTACCAAGGCGATGGAAAATTTGGACGATCAACTACTCAAGCTTGAAACCGTCAAAGCACGACTTCTAGCGGAGGAACAAAAGCGTTCTGGAAGACAATCCGGTTCGAGTGCTATGAACGGTATGGACGGAGTGGTGTTGGCGGCTAGGAATAGGAATCAACGTGGAAAACCTGCGAAATTCCTCGGAAAATGCTACTACCAAGGAGAGCCTGGGCATAAGAAGTTTGCTTGTCCCAAGGGGAAAGAACGACCCGAAAAATCCGATCGGGCTCAAGTAGCGAAGATACCAATGGTGGCCTTAGTTTCCGGAACAATTGAGGCACAGTCGTAGGATGAAATCGAATGGATTCTGGACTCGGGCGCTAGCTGTCGCATGGTAAGCAGTGAGGATTATTTTCACGACATCTGTAAGTTAGACGAGCCATTGCACATCGATAGTGCGAAGGATGGTGAGGTACTGGTAGCCACCAAGGAAGGTACCGTGAAGGGTAAGCTGTGCATCGGAAAGAACCGGTACACGTTATCATTCGGACAAAAAGCTGAAATACAATCTGCTATCGTTGGCAAGGCTGCTAAAGGCTGGCGTGCACATCGAATTCATGCCGGATCTTGCAATCCTTACGAAAGATAATGAAACTATTGGCGCACCTCAGTTTCAAAAATGTGCTGAAACTTAAGAATTCCATGATGGTGGATGGACTGGACGGTCCATGGTGATGCTAAATTTTGCAATTCTTTGGTACAAGCAATGTAAATATTTACCTTATTTGACAAAACCCAGGTAATCATGACAGCAGTAGGTCTCTTTTCTTCATTCAAATTGTTTTCAATAATCAAACGACATGATTACTTGGGCTTTGTCAAATAAGGTAAATATTTACGTTGCTTGTACCAAAGAATGCATGCGCTGAAAGCAAGATGTCTGTGGGCAGAAAACTCCGGCGACATCTGATGGTTTTCGCTATTTTTTTTCGTTTGTTGACGACTACACGCACTTCGGAGTCGTTTACCTGATGACGAGAAATTAACAGGTGTTCGATTATTTCAAGGTATACGAAGCAATGGCGACGGCAAAATTCGGAACGAAAATCGCGAATTTGAGGTGTGATCTTGGCAAGTGGAGTCAACGGTGGGATACACCCCACAACATAATGGTCTGGCGGAGCGTTATAACCGCACCATAGTTGAGAAAATGAGAGCCATGCTGACGGAATCAAGTGCGCCGAAATATCTATGGGGTGAAGCGGTCCTGAATGCGGTGTACGTTACCAACTGAAGCCCAACTGAAGCGATTAAAGGGAACCAGACGCCTACGGAAAAATGGCATGGGGAGAAGCCAGATGTCACCAAACTTAGAGCATTCTCCTGGGTACCGAAACAAAAGCGGGGTAAGCTGGATCCGACTGG